CCAAAGGACTAAAAATCATCCTGCATTAAAGACACATGCACATGTATGTTTATTGCGGCACTATTCACAATAGCAAAGACTTGAAACCAACCCAAATGTCCACAATGATAGACTGGATTAAGCAAATGTGGCACATATACAACATGGAATACTATACAGCCATAAAAAAGGATGAGTTCATGTCCTTTGCAGTGACATGGATGAAGATGGAAACCATCATTCTGAGCAAACTATCACAAGGACAAAAAACCAAACACCGCATGTTCTCACTCATAGGTGGGAACTGAACAATGAGAACACTTGAACACAGAATCGGAATCACTCCACCAGCCAGCTGCGGGCTCTGTCGTGGGGGGGGGGCGAGAGATACGCATTAGGAAACATATCTACACAATGTAAAGTGGAGGCGGGTCTGATGTGTAGCCCAGGCCAGCAGGCACAGTTGTATACCCTTATTGTAATCGAGCCTGCTGTTGTCACGTACCCTAGAATTAACATTCAAAAAAAAACACAACCAGAAAGATATTCGACACAACTTACAAAAACCAAAGACTGATCTTTTAGGTTAAAAACAGTCAACAAGGAACAGATATTAATTAGTGATTATAAAATCGTCAAGGCGGGCGCGGTGGCTCAAGCCTGTAATCCCAGCACTTTGGAGTCCGAGATACCGGGCGGATCACGAGGTCAGTGTAGATCGAGACCAGCCCTGGCTAACATTTTGTGAAAACCCCTCTCTACTAAAAAAACAAATAAAACGAGGTGGTCGGGCATACTGTAATCCCAGCCTACTTCGGAAAGGCTGAGGGCAGGTCGAATGGCATAAACCCCAGGAGCGGAGCTTGCAGTTGAGCTTGAGATCCAACCACTTGCTATCTCCAGCCTGGGCCACAAAACGCGAGACTCCGTTTTCAAAAAAAAAAAAAATCAGTCAAAAGTATAGAAACAGTAAGTAAAATGGTGTTTCCAAGAGCTGAAGAAAGAGAGGAAAGAGGCAGTTTGTTATTGGCGTATTACATTTTACTTTTGTAAGATTAAAATTAATCTAAAGATCCATGGCAGGCCGGCACGGTTGGCTCAAGCTGTAATCCCAGCACTTTGGGAGGCCAAGACGGGCGATCACGAAGTCAGGAGATCGAGACCAGGCCTGGTTAACCGGTGAACCCCGTCCTACTAAAAAAAAACAAAAAAACTAGCAGGGCGAGGTGGCGGGCGCCTGGTATCCCAGCTACTCAGGAGGCTGAGGCAGGAGAATGGCGTAAACTCGGGAGGCGGAGCTTGCAGTGAGCTGAGATCACCACGCACTCCAGCCTGGGTGACAGAGCGAGACTCCATCTCCAAAAAAAAAAAAAAAAAAAGAAAAAAATACTTTGACATAGAGCTCCTCAATAACACAAATATTCCAATGTCTCCAAAAGCAATGGAACAGCAGTCACATCATGCAGCCCCTTATAAGCGATAAAGTGGATGGACATTAGCTCTCCCTGTAAACTTAAAGGGAGATCAATAAAGCAAAAAGAGAATTCTTTGAAGATTTAACAGCATGGGACAGAAAAAATGCAGCTTTTTCAGAAATTATTTTCATTGGAGCAGAGCTTCCCAAACTACCTGTTTTTTGTTTTTTGTTTTTTTTTTAGACAGAGTCTAGCTCTGTCACCAGCTGGAGTGCAGTGGTATGATCTTGGCTCACTGAAACCTCCACCTCCCAGGTTCAAGTGATTCTCCTGCTTTAGCCTCCTGAGTAGCTGGGACTCCAGGTGCACACCACCATACCCAGCTAATTTTTGTATTTTTAGTAGAGACAGGGTTTCACCATGCTGGCCAGCATGATCTCGATCTCCTCACCTCATGATCCACCCGCCTCAGCCTCTCAAAGTGCTTGGATTACAGCCGTTAGCCACTGCACCTGGCCCCAAACCACATTTTAAGGCCTGGCTTCCTTCTTGACCTTTGGTCCCCTTGCCTGTGTCCTCTGCTTCATTCACTCTCACCTACCTGGGGGTCTGGCTACGATCTTACGTATCTTCACATTGTAGGGCTCTTTTCTTTGTTCCAGGCAGGTGACCAGGTCTGGGTTAGAGATAGCAACACCTGTTTTATTAAAAAAAAATAAGAATAACATGAATATTGATGGGGATTCTCCAATTACCAACCTAGTATTATGCTAAGCAGAATAGAGAGATATTATGGAAGATTCTAGAAAATTAATCCAAAAATTGTTTCCTGACAGAATCTTTAGAATATTTAAGTATTTTAAATCTGCAGATTCCAAGTTCCACTACCCAGTACTACTGAATAAAAAATAACTAGTGCAAATAGGATTTTAAGATGTGGGAAACAATATTTCATGTCCTTGAATTTCTAGAATTACCACTAATCTAGAGTGAAGGACTCAAATTAGCTCAAGAAAAGAGAAGGTTTATGTAAAGATAAAACATAAAAGTTTCCAGGAGAAATTTTTCAAAGGAATAAAATAAAGCTCTGAGATGAATTAAGAATTATGTATTAAAGTTATCCTCACCCAGGGAGACCAGGTTCCTGTAGTTCTCCAACATCACATCTCTATACAAATTCTGCTGGGCAGGGTCCAGGCATTTCCACTCTTCTGGAGAGAATTCTATGGCCACATCCCTGAATGTTAAGAGTTCCTGAAAATATATACGTATCAAGTGACAGAGGTCTTAATTTGACTACAGGTGAAATGAGTTAAGAGAGCTAGTTCTGACATGTGACTGACTGGGATTATCTGACAAAATAACTTTCAACACAATAATGTTCTCTAAAGTATTCTATAGCTCTGCAGAAAAAGGAAGGCATTCCAACAGTTTCTGTTGCTGCAATAAAAATAATGGGCTACACTGACACGCCCCTACCAAAACCAAGCAGAGTAGGCCCTGTGACCTCCTGGAACAAAGGGTGAACTCACCTTTCAGTAAAGTATCTGGAAGCCCTCATGTGTGACCCTGGCCTCACTGTAGAATCATGCAAGGAACTGAATTTTAAAAATAAGGATGTTTTCACCCAGAAAAATAGACAGGATCTGTGAAGAGGGCACAGCTGATAGTTTCTCTTCAAACTGTCCATGTGATCCTACTGGAAGACTGGGCTGAGGGTCACTGAGCTAAGCACTGCCTCTCAAGCTTCAATGTACATATAAATTATTTGATATTCTAGGTGTCACTGTAAGTAACAAAATTCTGCAGGTTTGAAAAGGGTCCATGAATTAGCTTTTTACAGCAAGTCTCCTGTTAATGTTGATGCTCCTCTCTCTAGACCCATTATAGTACCACTCAGTTAGAGAAAGCAGACACAGCACACAGAGTCCCTTACCCCAACACCGTTATCACAACACAAATACTTTTTATCCCAAGACAAGACCACCAATCATCATTCTGAAACATGGCATTCTCTGTAGACCCCGTAAGGTTACAGAAGTTGGAAATGGTGGCAATGTCTGAGTTAAGTCTGCATCTGAAAAACAACATGTGCACCTGCATTAATGCCATCTTTATGGGGCATGTAATATGTGCTCAGACGTATGTCACAGAGCACTGTGATGGGAAGCTCACATTATGTGTGTTAATTCTCATAACATTCTGGGAGGTAGACACTAAGTGTCCCACACTTCCCAGATTTAAATGCAGGGCCCAGAATTTCTATTTCCTTTCTGTTTCCCCTGACTGATTTTTTTTCAATGTATAGAATAATAGCTAAATATAGATAGATGGGAGAGAGCCAGAAAGAAAGTGTTAAGTACAATTCAGAGGAATTTTTTATTTTTGTGTTTGTATTTACTTGGAGACTTGTAAGAAAAAGCCACTGAAACTGCAGGGATGAAGAACAGGTTGCTACGTGGGATGTTTCTAGAAACACTAGTTTTAATTTTATAGAAAAGATTTAAGGCCTCAAGGTAAATAGTTTTTCCCTATTTATTGGCTTTTGGGTTTCAGAAAATTGTGGGCACCAGCTCTGGAGAGAAGGTAGGAGTAGCCACCCGAAACTCTGATCTCCTCTACTAATCAGTTCTGTGAGAGATTTCAGTGTGGCCTGAGACCTGGACGAGGACCAGAAGAGGGTGGATCTCAGCAGGGATGGGACAGAAAGTGGGCCCTAGGCTTCTGCTCTCTATGTCACTAAGTACTTTCGTTTTGTCTTTTCTAAGCCTGCCCAAGACAAATTTGATTCCCAGAATTTGTGAAATTTTAATCTATTTTAGCCACTTCTCTGTCTTTTGTATAACATACAGTAACAAGGAATTTAACGAAAATCCTTATGCTTCTCTAGAGCAATTATATTAGAAGTTAAATATTTACTCTTAGCAAGGTAAACACAATACAAATAATAACAATTTCTCTTCTGTCAATGAATGGCCATTCACGTAGTGGCATCAAAACTCATAAAACAGACTGGGTGCGGTGGCTCACGCCTGTAATCCCAGCACTTTGGGAAGGTGAGATGGGTGGATCACAAGGTCAGGAGTTCGAGACCACCCTGGCCAATATGGTGAAACCCCATCTCTACTAAAAATACAAAAAAAATTAGCCGACGTGGTGGAGGGCGCCTATAGTCCCAGCTACTCATGAGGTTGAGGCAGGAGAATTGCTTGAACTGGGGAGGTGGAGGTTGCAGTGAGCCGGGATAGCACCACTGCACTCCAGCCTGGGTGACAGAGAGATACTGTCTATTAAAAAAAAAAAAAAAAACCTCACAAACACAGTAAAGGGGAAGTAGCCCAAAGGAAGCTTAAGTTGCCTGTACAGTTTCCATCTTTGTACTGAACACATGATGCTGAATTCAACCATTTATTCATGTGCTCTAGACTGCAAGTTTGATGGTAGCAACCATGACTGCTTCATGCCTTTTTCTAATGAACATCTGAAATAGAAGCAATTAGCTTATTGATCAGTTTGAGTCTTCAGAGCTCCTCATTTTTCACCAATACCAGAAAACTAGAGCAACTCTTATCTGGGTACAAACCAAGGGGATTCTTTCTGTGAGGGGAGGAACAAACCCTGGATGAATCATTTCTCTTTCTCTGAAATGGAAGCAGAATCAGACCTTGGGGTCAGACTGACCCCAGTCTGCAAAGGACATCGTCAAATGTCTCAAATACTCACAGATGCTGGTGAGAGTGTCCCCAGCGACCCTGGGCAGATGCTGCCCCCATAGTGATCCAGGCAGAAGAGACAGACTGACTTTGTGGAGTGCAAACAGAAAATGGAACAGCCTTGGTGGAGCTGCAGATCCTGGATCCAGATGTGAAAGCCCTGTCCCTTTTCAACTAACTCTAAGGCAAGGGGAAGGACAAAAGCACTCTACTCCAATAACACAGTCTACAGGGAGGCATAGTTGTGACTATGGCTCTGGAGATTTTGTGGCCCTGAGCTCCCACTGCTAAAGTGCTTGTTTACACTTACAGAATCTGCCACAGGATTCTGTTTACACCAGAAGTCTCGCACACAGCTATACCAGGTAATTGGAGAAGATCTGGAAAACTCAAAGGGCTCCACTCTGAAAGTGGGGCTTATGATGTCTATGTTGACCTCTCGTGATGCAGAAAATGCCTTCTGTGAGTTTTCTGTATGTCTTTCACCCAAAGTCTGGCCCAGTCTTGGGAATCCTAGGCAGAGGCCAGCTTTTATGTGCAGATTCTAGGTAGGATTAATGTGCCTCAGCATTCTTAGGGGTTATAGCAAGCAGAGTAAAACTAGGAGAGATCCCCTCCTGGAGACTCCTTCAACACTTTCTAAAGAGTATTTTGGCCAGGCGCGGTGGCTCACGTCTGTAATCCCAGGACTTTGGGAGGCAGATCACAAGGTCAGGAGTTTGAGGCCAGCCTGGCCAACATGGTGAAACCCCGTCTCTACTACAAAATATAAAAATCAGCTGGGCATGGTGGCATGTGCCTGTTGTCCCAGCAGGAGAATTACTTGAACTTGGGAGGCGGAGGTTGCAGTGAGCCAAGATCGTGCCACTGCACTCCTGCCTGGCGACAGGGTGAGATTCTGTCTCAAAAACAAACAAACAAACAAACAAACAAACAAAAAAACCATTTTGACCTAAAAGGAAAAAGTTGGAGTAAACATAATATAAGAAGACAGTTTATTTGAGCCAAAGCTTGAAGATTGCAACCCTGGACCATAAAGCTGCCCTGAATATACACTCCAATTAGAAGCCATTACAAGTATATTTTTAAAGGCAAAAAAAAAAGGCACGGGGAACTGACAGAAAGCTGTCAGAAATTCTTACTGGTTTATAGAAGTAACTTTGGTTAGTGATTGGCTATATATGTTGTTAAGCTATAAGGTGTGGGTTATAGTGTCCAGTATGGCATTATTAGGTTAATTTATATCCATTTGTGGCAATAGCAAGTAATTTCAAAAGACAAATAGTTCAAGGAGGGGAACAGTAGGACTGTGGTCTCATTTTAACACATCACTGGTTCTCATAATTAAAAGAACTTGTATTTCTCAAATAAAAGTTCTGTTCTTCTCTCAAATCCCAGGACATAAACTCAGAATTTGGAACTGCACATTTAAGACTTGGAGGGCTGGTAAGCTACGCACATTTGTGGGCATTTGGGCAAGGGGAGAAGGGAGAGAATTGAAGTTCTCAGGTTTAATCAATGCACATGTGTGATCCTGGCTGGATTTATGGGCCCCATGATCTCTGACTCAGTGTCAGAACTGAAGATGCCTGGTGCACTGAAAGAGGTGCAAAAACTGATTGCTATCTTAAAAAGTTATTTTTGTAGAAAACTAGTCTAACTGCTATAGAAGGGACTGCAGATCCCAAATAGAGAGATCATTTCGTTTGCAGCTTTGGGGAGCACTTTGCTGCACTTTGTCACACAATTGTGGGTTGTGACCGTAATCCTGAGAAAGAAGATTTTTCTCTAAGATGAAGCCTGGTGGGCACTTTTTGTGTAAGATCTAGTAATTCTTGACAGTGTGTGGAAAATATAACTAACAGCAAAATCATCTACAATCCTAAAATACTCTCCACAAAAATAGAACTGCAAGAAAGTGTGTTATAGAATTAAACAAAATGTGATGTGCATTACAGGCAATCTACTAAGAGATTTCCAAAACAAAGAGAGACACCCTAATTAGCTTTCAAGTAGAAGACTTGACAGTACCATGTATCATACACAGTTTATTACACTTTCACTAGTAATGTGGGAGGTCATCTGGGTTTTCTAATTGGTAATATTCAAAGGGAAAATAAACTTCCCACAGCTTAGTGACAGAAGGCAGATTTTGAAACGTGAAGGCAGGCACCTGCTGAAAGTAACCTCTTACTCTTCTACAGAAATTGTGGAATAAGGTGTATATTCTTGCTATTCATATTTCAAAGCAATAGTTCCATGTCCTAGATGAAGACAATTTTGAGTCAAAAAAGACAAATCACCTAGTTAACAGATTAAAATGATTTATATATATTTCAAATAAGCAGAGAAAATATTTAAATATAAAAATTTTCGCCGGCCGCGGTGGCTCACGCCTGTAATCCCAGCACTTTGGGAGGCCGAGATGGGCGGATCACAAGGTCAGGAGATCGAGACCGTCCTGGCTAACACGGTGAAACCCCGTCTCTACCAAAAAAAAAAAAAAACTAGCCCGGCGCGGTGGCGGGCGCCTGTAGTCCCAGCTACACGGGAGGCTGAGGCAGGAGAATGGCGTAAACCCGGGAGGCCGAGCTTGCAGTGAGCTGAGATCCGGCCACTGCACTCCAGCCTGGGCGACAGAGCGAGACTCTGTCTCAAAAAAAAAAAAAAAAAAAAAAAAAATTTCAAACTAAATACTTTAAGGGAGAAGACCAAAAATTCTTCCCTCATTCTAAAGAGAAAGCATTAAGCCTCTTCTGGTTTGTATTTGGTCCTATAACAGCCAGGTCTAAAGGCATGGTCTTGAATTCACCAACGTCTGAATTCTTGTGGCACATGAGGGATGCACTCCGGCAAACTGTGTGCACAAGAAAGAGGATTTGTGGCGAAGAAAAGCGCGGAAGAAAGGTGCTATCAAGATCCTTGAGTGGGGGCAAGGCAGGATTGACGAAAGGACTGGTTTGTGCTACAAGTTCAGGCCCAGGCAGGGCTAAGCTCTGACTGATTCCTGAGTCCATAAAGGCAGAGGAGATTAGGATCAGGTGGTCCAGAAGCCTAGGTGGGTGAAGAAAACAGATTCCTGCTACAGATCTGAGGTTGAAATGAACCAGGAGTCTTCTGGGCAGTGTGTGAGTTCTTGGCAGAAAAAGCTAGGAGCAAAGCTGCCATGGCCACAATTCCTGAGGGTAGAACCCTGTCCTGGGATGAGTGTGGCCATTCGAATGCCCAGTGGGCATGCTCAGGAGTGGGTTAGCATTGGGTGGGGGCCGGCAGCAGGGTGCAGGGAAGGGATGTTTGTCAGAACTCCTTTCCTCTAAGTTCCCAGTCCCCTCTCCCCGGGAGGAGACCTGGAGGAACAGGACAGTGCCCAGCGGGACAGCGCATGTGCAAAACCCGGCCGCGCCTCCCGCAGACACCAGGCGACTCCCTCCAGCCCAGGCTCAGCCATGTCTTTCTTCTGACAGAAAACCTGAGGAGTTTCCTCAACACCCGTCAATGCTCCAACCTCAACGGGCTGTCCAGCAACTCACTAACGACCCCACCCAGAGTCAGCGCAGACCCACAAGCTCAGCGCTCTTCCCGCAACTGCCCCCCTGCAGACGCCAGTCCCTGCCTCTGGACACCCGTCTTCATTTCTGAACGCCTGCAACAAACCAGGGGCGCCCACACCCTCCTCAAGTTCCATAATGTGGCAGAACCACTCACAGAACTCAGCGAAGCGCTGTGCACACGACACCAGCGTATTCTAAAAGATGCCGCTCAGGAACAGCCACGCGGAGGAGGCGCTCAGGGCAAGGGGACCGGTGGGAAAGTTGGGGCGGGCGGGCGATTTGCTTCCCTTCCTCACACACCTCACAAAAGCCTTTCCTTCAAGACCGCTGGCCCAAACCACGAACCACGGGGGCGCTGTCCCACTAATGAGTCCCCGTTTCCTCACATGAACTCTCTTTTGACGGGGCCTCCATCTCACTCTGAAAAGGGTAAAGTAGGGACAGGACCCCGGACCACAGCTCCTCCCAGGCCGCGCACGCCGCGCCGGCGTCTTCCCGGAGAGCTCCTCACCCCACAGCCCGGGGAAGGTGCGGGGCTGCGGGCACAGAGCTGCACGAGGAGGGCTGCAGGCTGGGCAGAGCCGCCGTGCGGGGACCGACAGGAGCCCGGGTCCCTCACCGGAGGGGACTGAGGACGGAGGGCTGAGCGGCAGCAGCGGGGACTCCGTTCGCAGACTCGGTCCCGCCGCCGCCATTTCCCGCCGGTTCCGATGAGACCTCCCCAGCCTTGGGACGCCCTGCCCCGCACACTCACCATTTCCCCACTTCAGGGGTATCCGGGAGTCTTAGCTAGGAATCATCCAATACCCGCAGGTCACAGAGCAACGGAGGCTGAGGCTGTGGCCAAATCACTGAGGACTCCCAGAACCGACTAAGCAGAGAGATGAATCCCCCAACCCAAGGCCTGGCAGGAGCCAGACGCAAAGACCGCGCCACATCCCGGAAGCCACCGCCTCGTCTCTGGCTGCGTGCCTGACTGGGCAGTTCTCATCCCAGCGCCCTGATTGGATATGGCTTCAATCTCCCCGCCCTCAGGCCTTGAGTGACAGAAGTTGCAACCACACACTCCACGGAATGTGGCGAGAGTGACAGCCTGGGTCCTCCAGGCACTTTCAAGCGGGGCTTTCTCTCCCTGCTTGGCCTGGCACAGCCCAGGGGTCATTTTTTAACCTTGTGATGTGTAAGGTGATGTCCACTTAGAAATTATACACGCACGCACACACAGACGTACACACACAGACATATACGCGCGCGCACACACAGTCGCACGCCACGTACACAGTCTCACACACACAGAGTCACATACACAGAGTCACGCACACACATGCACAGCCCATCCTTCCTCCAGGCTCTCGAACCACCTCTCCAGAAACCCTGCCTTCGGGGCCGCAGCCCGCATGCCGACCTCAGTGGGTCCTCACAGAGCCGAGTTGGGTGCGCAGCCCTCCCTTACCCTGAGGCGCAGGTTCCCGGGAGTCGGTCGCTTATCCCCAGCGCCCTGCGGGCCTCGCACCAGCTGGGGCAGTGACCCGGGTGAGCAGCGCTGTGGTGCGGCTCACCGTTGCTGAGGACACCCTCCTCCCCCGGAAGCGGGTCCTGGGGGTCCTGGGGGTCTGGGAGGCCGAGTCCCTGACCTCTGTAAACAGTAGGTCGGTGGTGTCCACGCAGCAGACAGCAATTACTCAGGAGTGAGCGTCTGGTCTTTGGCCTCAGCTTCGTGTCTGTAGAATGAGGGTAAGGGACTCCGGACTCGGAGCGCTGTCGGGCGCGGCGAGATGGGCTGAGAGTGTGTCTCCCTCCCCAAGCTCGCTCGGAGCTGTGCGGGGCGGGCGGCCCCAGGACCCTCGGTTCCGAGCAGCCCCCGGGGGTCCCGCCGCGCCCACCCCAGGCTGCGCTGCGCAGCCCCTGTCCCCGCCGGACCCGGCCGCAGTCGGCCAAGGCAGGGCCGGGGCGGACACCGTGGGCGTCGAGGACGAAGCCGGGCCCGCGCCCCTGGGCGACCCCCTAAGCCGCAGAGCCCGGAGGGGTGGAGCTGGGTCTGGCCCCGCAGGCAGCTGGAGTCGCGGGTGGGCCAGAGCCCAGAACGCGCCCAGGAGCCCCACCTCATGGCGCTGCATGGGCTGGGGAATGGGCTTGGGGACAGCGCCAGGGCCACCCCGACGCCAGCACCCCGGCAGACCCAGGGGCCGCCTGTGGAGAGACATTGGATAGGTGCATTAAGTGACCAGAAAAGTCACCGGCTGGCTCTGTTGATGAGCAGAACGCTTTCAGAGAAGTGTATGCTCACGCAGTGCTCCGACGGCATTCGCGTAGTTTGACACTTGTCTGCTTGGGCAGATAGATGCTCACGCACGTAAGCTTGTTTTGCAGTTATGCAGGACTGTACTGTGGCTAAGCACACAGACTCTGGGTTCGCATTCCAACTGCCCTGCTATTTCCAGCTGTGTGACCATGGGGAAGTTACTTGCCTGTGCTCAGTGTTCTCTGTAAAGTCAAGATAGCAGTATCTGCCTCATGGAGTCCTTTAAGTGAGTTAATAGTGTAATATGTTTTGGTGGCATGCACACAGTCACCATCAGTAAATATAGTCGATTATGCCTGAACCCCAGATGGGCACATGTCCTTGAAAAGTCTAAAATTCAGAACTCTGAAATCTAGCCTGTGAGATCCTGGAATCCTCCAGCAGCATTCTAACATCTCTTGGCTGCAGAATTGTATGCTGCTTCCCAGGGCTGGAAGGTGTATTTGTATTAATATAGTGTAATAATACGGCCACGTGTCCACCTAGTTCATCCCTATAGTAGGCAAACAAGGTGATGTCAAAGCCTTGGCTGGGCCCAGCCCTGGTAACCTTCCCTTCTCTCTTTCGTGCATACTCTCTCACTCATATTCATTTCTTTTTTCTTGAACTACACACTTAAGAAGCTCCTATTGATAACGAAATTAATGTTTTTTATTTTGAAAATAATTTACCCTTTTTTGTTGAAGGTATTGTAAGAACCCATTTCCAGCCTTAAGGACAATTTCTTTCCGTTCCATTTGTATTTATTTCTCTGGTTTTGGCTCTATACATTTGTGGAAATTTTACTTCCATTTTTGTGAATAATCTTTTTGTTTGTTTGTTTGTTTGTTTGTTTGAGATGGGGTCTTGCTCTGTTGCCCAGATTGGAGTACAATGGCGTGATCTCGGCTCACTGCAGCTTCTGCCTCCCAGGTTCAAGTGATTCTCCTTCCTCAGCCTCTCAAGTAGCTGGGATTACAGGCATGCACCACCACACCTGCCTAATTTTTGTATTTTTAGTAGAGACCGGGTTTCACCATTTTGGTCAGATTGGTCTCAAACCCGTGAGCTCAGGTGATCTGCCCGCCCTGGCCTTCTGAGGTGCTGGGATTATAGGTGTGAGCCACCATGCCTGGCCTGTTAATTTTATTTCAATTAAAATCTAATTTTTAAAGGTACCAATTTTTTATTCAATAAATATTTAACATATTCACTTTAAACTCTTGGGTGTTAAATCTAAAAATGTTTAATGGCTTAAAATATTGTCTTACATATTGTATGAATGAAATACTGATGACTGTGATGGTCAGATTATCTTTTGTTCATAGCTTTCTTTAAATACAATATTATTATTTTTTATTTGTTCTTATTAAAATTCATTTTGTCTTACTTAAATGTTGATAAATATAGAAGGGAGGCTTGGTTTGCTAGCTTTATGCATTCCAAAGTCAAAAGTCAAATTGCAATATTATTAACTTCATTTCTACTCAGTAACTAATTGGTCTCCCACAGTAAAGGTAAGTATTAACTAACACAATTATAGTCATATTCTCCATCTTAATAATGGAGTAAAATTTGTGTTATTTATTGATTAAGTTACGGCCTTATTTTTTATATATATATATATATATTTTTTTTTTTTAAAGACAGAGTTTTGCGTTCTAAAAAGTTAGCACACGCGCTGGGCATGGGGCCTCATGCCTGTAATCCCAGCACTTTGGGAGTCTGAGGCATGGGGATCACTAGGGTCAAGAGATCAGGCCATCTGCCAACATGGTGAAACCTTGTCTCTACTAAAAATACAAAAATTAGCTGGGTGTGGTGGTGCCTCACCTGTAGTCCCAGCTACTTGGGAGGCTGAGCAGGAGAAATCGCATGAACCTGGGACGCGGGCCGGAGGTTGCAGTGAGCCGAGATAAGTGCCACTGCACATCCAGTCTGGGCACAGAGCAAGACTCCACCTC